GAAAATTAGACATCAAACTCGGATTCAATTGATCTTTTTTCTGAGTTTATCGTGTGTATAAAGTCTGCGATTGTCAGGTTCCACAGGTAGCAGCACTTCATATAGTTTAAGACCATCTCGATTTAAATGAAATCGGTAATCGATGAAGATCTCTCCCGTTTTTTTTAAATTTTCGTCCCACTGCTGTNCTGTCGGTCGCGGTATATGAACAGAATGAACTGGTGCAGAACACTTCGCTCAGGGCTTGATTTGTTAAGGTACACTGCAATTGTTGGCTCTTTCTCCTTGTGGTAAAACTGTCACACAATCGCTGTCGTGGATCCACTCCGTGGGTGTTACAACCATTATGCGCATAGTGAACTTGATCGGGACGCGGCTGCAAACGGAGTTCACGAAGCGTGCTCGTATCGATCCGGTGTTGTCCGTGCTCGCGCACACGTGACAAAGTTAAACTGTGTGGATCGATCCATCTTGGTGAGACCCTTGTTTATCAATTTGTTCAACCTCTAAGAAGTTCAAGGAAAATAATGCACGGTTGAGAGTCACTGTCAGATCGATCAATGTGATATTTTTGTAAAATATTCACAATAATGCACAAAAACCAAGCGGAAACGCGCAGAAGTTTCTTTTCGATATCTATATTCAGGTATTCACACATAGTTTGATAATTCAATAGATTTTTATACAAGGACCCAAGTTGTTGTTGAATAAATGTGCGAGGGAGCGAAATGTTCGTTTTACAACAGGCGACGGTGTCACCATAAATAGATAAGGAAAGCACTGTAAAAAAATTGTACTGAACACAACACGGAAGGTATTAGTCACAGAAGTAAAACTGTGTACCATAAAGAGAAAAGAATCAGTAAGTAAGGGGGACAGAATGTGAGAGTGTCACATAGAAATATGAAAAATATTTAACCAATCCCACGGAGCACATAATAAGAACACGAATTACTAAACAAGTGCGTGTTTAGTGCATCTTAGTAATGCCATTATAACACAATATATATGACTATGGCAGCTTGAGTGCTCGCACAAATCGTTTTGAGCACACAGAGATAGGTCGTGAGGACGGAGACTAACTGCCTCCGTTGTGGCTAGAATGCAAAATCCCACGTGTATATAGACAGTCCCGTTTTAACAGAAACGCTTCGGTCACGTTTCCAAGGCGTGACACTACCGCACCTATGATTGACTTCATTGCTTCACTTCTCAACCATGCAAGATGATGCTCACGGATGCACTCCATCGGACGCCTGATCGTGCGGTCAGCATAATTTGCTTTACACGAGGAAGCAAAAAAGTAAGTGCAAATAGAGACAGCAGAACCGGGCGTTCTATCCTTCAACCGTAAATACACAACGGGCTAGATTGATGTGAAACTGGTTTGGAGCATGGCTACATGGAACCTTTTGTTCATTGTATCCGATAGCCTTCTACGCACAATCTCTGAGGAGGTGTCACCTTTAAATGATAACGAGATGTGCACAGACATCATCAATGACTGCTTCCAAAACGCATCTTGTCTTTGCATTATAGACTGCACCAAGCGCTTCTGGTATCAATTCTGGATAAAGATATTTCATAAATTTCGGAGTTTAGCAACCATCATAATTCTCTGCGTAGCATCTTTTAGCTCNGTTGACCAGACAGAGTATGAGATCCTCTATCAAACTGAGTGGCGTAAAGCTACGGAACCGAATGCACTGTTCATTCTACGTCGCCTTCCTCTGTAATGACGGCCTGATCTACCGTCACCACGACGAGTTAGGCAAACATCTAAGAGTGCTAACCCATTGCTTCTTTTTCATTTGTGCATTTCAAATTGCGATGCGTAGATTTTAAAACCTTAAATAATGTTCCTTTTTCCTCGTTAATCCCTACCGGTAATTGGTCATATAGTGTGTTGTACGGGAATGATTAAAATATGCGAAAATCACTTTTATGACCAGGATGATAGAAGCGATTGAACCAGTTTACATGGCTTGCGCAAATCCGGTTTCATTATACTACTCCGCAGTTTTCAAGTTATCCTTACGTAATTCTTCCGTGGTGGTCTGAGGTAGTGAGAACTGACTAGTACATGTTGTCTCTGGATCACCTCTGGGTTCTTTGTCGACCAGATTTTGTGTGATCGAGCTGTTTTAATTACTTAGGACTGAAGAGATATATCTATAAGACATTTTCTTGCGGTTCCATTACGCAACTATAAATTTATACTGTCTTTCCTATAGAGTTCAAATTTTTAATATTGAGTTTTATAACAAGTAACTTACGCATTTCTCAGCCCGAATGATATATTGAAGTTTATGATTAACATAATTTAAAAAACAATCAACATACTGATGTATTATCACAGCCATTGAACGGAAGAAAATCCCTGACGCAAATGAACAGAGCGAGAACCATTTCGCTAAATCCGTGCAAATGCGTGCATTGGTCGATTAATGTGTACGGTCTGTACTGAGTTGGTCACTTTTGGAAATAAAATGAATCGCCAATTTTACATGTATTGAGATATTTAAGGAAATCCGAATCAGGTTCGTACCTCGCATTGTGATCTTGTACAGTTCCAGACTTCATCCTGCTATTTGCCTACAATTTTTCGGATTCATTGTTGCCCCTCAATCAAGGTGCCCATCCTCAAGTACGACAGTCGTCAATATTTCGCGTCCTCTCACACTGGGTTTGTGAGATCCGTTGGCAAACAAGTTCTGCTTCCTGTTAAGGTGAGTGAAATAAAATTGCAATCCTGTTCGTATTGTGATGGAAGGTGGTACAAAGCGAGCCCCGGCTAGCGAACGGATCAAGAATAGAGCCGATCCAACCAAATGCAAAGATGTAGCAGCTGAAAGTAATCCGCGGGACAATTTCGAATACCAATCGAAACGAACGAATTGACTGTTACAGCCCGACGGACAATCCGCATCTAGCCAGAAAGATATCCACCGACTACCACAACGTAGGAGCTGTCGATCAACGTATCTCACACTACGATCGAGTCAAACCAGTTGGAACTGCACGAGGAGTAAAAGGGCACGTACGTGCCAAATGCGGACCAAAATTAACAGGGATTGACTAAC